GCATGCAATACACAATTTAAAACTTTCTTTTTTTCTGGTCATTTTGAGAAACTATTGTAGCCAACTACTTTCATAAAGATAAAGAAATTGTGGCCATTGTAAGATTTCAGTTTCTCTCATTCAGAATCTTATTAGACCTCTAGGAAGATGTAGTCCACTTCTGTTTAAACCTGGGTGGGCTTTTGACTGACTATAATCAATAAAGTAAGCGAGGACTTCCCAGATTACATCATGAAAGGGATACAACTTTTACCTCTTGGAACCCAGCAATGCTACTCTAAGGCAGTATCTAGGTAGAAATCTGGCTACATCCCACCTAAGGTCTCATCCAACATCAACCACCTGTGCATGAAAAGCCTTCAGATAATTCCAGTCCCTGCCCTTGAAAAGCTACCCCTAACAATGCTCAGTACAGCAGAAATGAACCAAGCAGAGTCAACAATATAAATCCTGTGTTTTTTGAGAGTGGTTGTTATCCAGTACTAGGTAACTGCAACTGTTGATACTTTCCATCTCACAGAACCACTAAATTTACAGAATGTACACAAACCTAGCATTATTTTACCATTTTTCTCAATATTAAGCCAAACAGTATGTAGTTATTTGACAACTACGAAGGACCTTAGGCTATCCTGGTTGACTGAGATTGAACTAATGAGAATCCATCATTTACCTTGCTACAAGACTCTGTAAGAATGTTTTGGTACAATGCAAAGAGTCCAGATAAATCCTAATTCATCTACACATACGAAAGTTTGCTGTACAACTACCATCTTCCAGGCCCAGTGTAAGATAGGAAATCCAACAGTAAGCATGCATCCCTAAACTACCTCTTAAACCGGAAGAACCAGTTCAGAACTGAAGGTATAAGTATTAAATAAAACTGAAGGGTAGGTATTAAATCAAAGAAAAAGAAACTCTATGTTGAGTAAGACATGCACAGAAGGCTAGTGGGAGGAAAAAGTTCAAAGAAAAAGCAGCCAAGCAGAGCTGAAACTGCAAATGCAGGTTAAACAGGCTGCGTTGTTGACATGGGTTGCTCTAAAGGTTGTAGGCCCTCACCAAGCCAACTGAACAGAGATCAGATCCAGCTTCTAGTTTTGAAATTCACATCAACTTGCCTAATCCAAGTCTAAAACAGCATCTTAGCGGAGCCTGGGTGGCTCAGTGGGTTGAGTCTCTGCCTTCAGCTCAGGTCATGGTCTCAGGGTCTTGAGATGGAGCCCCGCAGATTGGGCTCTCTGCTCGCAGGGAGCCTGCTCCCCCGCCCCCTGCCTGCCTCTCTGCTTGTGATCTCTGTCAAATATATAAAATCTTTAAAAATAAAATAAAATAGCATTCTTATTTCAGACATGTATCTCATTGTTCACCTCTAGATTAGGACATGTATCTCATTGTTCACCTCTAGATTACCTGTCACAATGTCCAGAGCTCCAGGTAGATGTTAGGGATGTTGAAGATAGGCTGGTAACTTGGGTGTTCTGGAGCATTAATATCCAAATACTATCAGACTTAGTTTTACTCTAGATTATTTCTGGATGTGAGCCAAGGCCAAAAAATTAGGATATGAAAACATGCTAATTTGAAAATAGGTGAGATTTTTTTTTGAAACTAGCTGACTTTAGAGAACTAATTATTTTCTAATTTTACATAAAAAACTTTCAAAATGGGGTAACAGGTTTAGATTTCTCATCCAGTTTTCATCTGTTCTTTTGTATGCCAAGTAGAGCACCTCTTAGCCAAGAGCCATTTTGCCTTTAGAAACACAACCAAACCCCAACTAGTTCTAAAATTAACTGCCAAAATCAATTTAAAATGTGATTCCAACTACAAGTTCTAGATTTTCTTATGTTTGGGGAGCACATTTACTAAATGCTCATATGGTTCTAAGTCCTAGACGCATTAATGTATTCTCACTAATGTTCACCACAATCATCACAAAACTATGAGGCTGAATGAACAGTGATAGATGAACCCCAAAGCCTGTATTTAACCATTCTACCTCCACCACCCAATATATTAAGTATTTGACTCCCACATTAATTTAAAAACTGATAGTTCATCCCTTGTTTAGGGGCTATACAGCCTTAATCTAAAATTAGATCTATTCCATTTTTATTCATGTTTTTTATTCCTATACAGCAACCTCACCCACAATTCTCATTCCTGAGTCCACCTATTTGATGAAAGTAGTCACAAATACAGACTGGAGAATGGCAGTTGGATTAACCATTCAGAGTTGGATTAACTCTGAAGCATTCAGTGTGTATTCAGTTTTTAATCCATTTTCACTGGTCAAAACAAATCTGCTTGCACATTTAACATTACTTGTACTGTGATTCTGTTAAGAATGTCTTCGTAATTAGAGGAAAAACAGCATTTAGAGGGTAAAAGGGTATGATGCCTGCAACTGTCTTTTAGAAAAAATGCATGTATGCTTAAGAATATAGGGCTATGTAGCAAAATCAATAAATGGTGACAGAAGAACACACAAGAATTCTTTCAACTATATTTTCAGAATTAGAGTTATACTATCTTTCATGTCCTAGTTTTAAAACTGCCTTCATGGAAGGGTCATCCTCACTTGAAATACTCTCAAGAGGTGGTTTTTAGTGTTTTAAGCCCTTTAAAAGGACTTCTATGACTTAGTCTTCCATGGCTTGGCCCTTTCTATCTCCAACCAAGTCTTTCAACACTTTGAATGTACCCCAGACTGTCCTACTTCAGGACTTTCAGTGTGTTTCCTCTACTACCTTCACTGAACTGCTTGCTCTCTGCTCAACTGCTTGCTCTCTGCTCAAAGGATCCATCTTTCAGTACACAATCCTACTCTTCCTTGAAATTCCAGCTAAAAGCGGTCATGTAAGTTTTGAGTCTTCTGGTAGAAACTACTTCACCACTCCACGAAAAATTTATCATAGCCACAACAGTCTAACTTCATTACAAATATCAAAATTATGACTATGAATAGCATTAACTCTTGATATGAGGTCTGTCAACTTCTGGCACTTTTCATCACTAATCCCCAAATTCCTTCTTGGTTTTTAAGTTTAAACCACACAAGGAACTAAAAACTACTTTTATCTTAAGCAACATTGTCTCCTGAGTTTCAAAATAATAGAACTCAAAACAAGTAATTAAGAGATCTACAAAAACTACAAACTCTTAATTTCCAATATGAAAATTAAGCAACTGGATTAATGACTTATTTCCTGCTGGCAGTTTATTATTTCTAAATTATTATGCTCCATTGCTCATCTAGTTTACACTTAAGAAAATTAGTCAATGCCTTAATTTTTTTTAACTGAAAAACCTAAAAGTACATGATGTCAAATGGAAGAAACACAAGATACAAAGTATACTATATTTTTTGAAAATATAATTAATACATAATTAAAAATTTCTCATGGATCAATGCTCATCCTTTAAGTAATTTCACACCCCAACAAAGATGTCTCCATTTCTCTGAAGTCACATAAATGATCCCTAATTATTCCAAGAACTTGGTTTTTTAATCCAAGTTATATTCTGATACCTAGATTTTTAAACCAGTATACAAAGTCACCACTATGAATTAGTTAATCTCACCATTATCAT